CCAGAAGATAAATGAATGAGTAATTGACTTTGCATGGGCTTGAGAAAAGGTCTGGTAAGATGTCCAGAAGAGAAATGGATGAGTAATTGACTTTGCGTGGGCTTGAGAGAAGGTCTGGCAAAACGTCCAGAAGAGAAAGACATGTGTAATTGGTTTTGCATAGGCTTAAGGAAATGTCTGGCAAGACGCCCAGAAGAGAGATATATATGTAATGGACTTTGTATGAGTTTGAGAAAGACCTGTCAAGATGCCAGAAGAAAGATGCGTATGAAATGGACTAATTAAAGCGCATTTTTTAGTTTGGGTACAAGAAAGGTCGAATGAGGGTGACGTGCATACGAAATTGGCAGGGTTAGAGAAAGTCGGGCAAAATGACATGGGAAAAATACATGAGAATTAGGCTAAGCATGAGATTGAGGAAAGGACGACGAGAGGCGTGAATTGCATGGGCCGAAAAGCCGAGTAAAAGAAGCACTGAGGGCAACCGGGGCCAGAAAAGGGGCGTGGTTGACACGGGGTGGGTGAACGAACAACAAAAGGGCGCTTGGGAAGGCAAGGCGCGGGGAGAAGCAGGGGCAACAAAAAAAAAAGAAAGATGAAAGGAGGAGTGATGCTTTGAGGGTGATGAACGAGACGAAAGGAGGATTGATGCTCTAAGGGTGATGAATAAGATGAAAGGAGGATTGATGCTCTAAGGGTGACGAACGAGACGGAAGGGGCTTTGATATTCTCATAGTTATGAATGAGACATGAGAAGTCTGAAGAAAGTCTGCATTATATGCACCTCTCCCCGTCCTAAGGGTTGAAGCCTAGAAGAATCCGAGAAAGGAACAATAAAAGACAAAACGGACCCTGACAACTAACTACCCATAACATCTCACCGTTCTCTCTCGTCTATCCCTCAAAAACCCACTGATAAGATATTGGTGCGCGATGAGGACATCGAGAATGAGTAGGGGAAATGTATTGGGACTGGTGGGTCCCGAATAACTTCCCATCACTCGAGAGACTGAATATAGATAAATTGTACACAACAGAGAAAACTGGAGTAAGGAGGAAAGAGAGAGAAATGACAAAAGGATGAGGCCGCAGGAGAGAGTAATGCCCTGGGGAGAAAACTGCAGAGGGAGAGAACCAGCAATGGCGAGCGAGTGAGCGCAAGAACAGGGGCACGTAGAACATAGTATGAGGCCGGGAGGGCCGTTGAAATGCAACAAGACTAAGGCCAAAGAGCCCTTGAACCAGCAAACGCAGCACGACAGCAACAAAAAAATGAGGAAGTCGAGAGATGGATGACCCTGGGGCCGTGGGAAGCTAAAGAATGAGGGGCCAACGTGGGGGTCACCTGCGGGAGCCTCGGAGTGGAGGCCCACGACCACACAAATCGGCACGCGCAAGGCGCAAGAAAAGACAAGGGAGATGGGTCACTGTGGGGCGGCAAATGCCCAAGAAACGTGGGATACCTTGGAAAAAGGCACCCGGGGCCACGTGGGACCAAGTAGAAATGAAGGCATCCGGGACAAAATGGGTCGGGGACCCACCAGCGGGACTAAGTATCGGGGACCACCGACAAGACTAAGTGTCGGAGACTACCGGCGGGACTGAGTGTCGAGACCATCGATGGGAAAATGGCGGGGACATGTGAAAGTCTCAAGAAGGAACGACGGCACCACATGAGGGAAAATAATACAAGCAAGGTGCACCGTCAAGATCGAGATCTTTGACGGCCAAGAATATTAGCACCACTAGTGGGAGCAAATGAAGAGGCAAAAAAAAAAAAAAAAAGCAAAGAAACATGAAGTGGGAGGCATGGGAGCAATCCAAAACATCTCGGATCAACCTCCCCCAAGAAAATAGAGTCAAAAGAGACCCCATGTATAAAATAGGCCTCCGGAAGAAAATCGGAGTAGGAGGGGTCATTGTGGGAGAAAGATAAAAGCAAAGGGAAACCCGCATGAGCATGAGAAGGCCATTATTGCAGTCCGAGATATATCGGACTGCACCTTGGGCATAAGAAGGGCCAAAACTAAAAGGAAGGAGCTAGAAAAGGGCCTTAACGGCCACTTGACACTTGACATGCTAGGAAAAAAAAAGAAAAGAAAAGAAAATGTGGGAGAATAAGACAAAAAGAGTTAGAGGAAGTGAGTGAGTTGGCCGTCAGTACGGACTGCTATAAGTAGGGATTAGCAGGTCCCTACTGTCCAAGAAAGGAGAAAAAAGAAAAGAAAAGAAAAGAGAAAAGAAAAGAAAAGAGAAAAGGGCCCTAACGGTAAAAAACGGTCACTTGGGGAGATACATCCGTGACCAGATTCATTCTGGAATATGGCGGTTACAAAGGACCTTGATTTTCTTTGATTTTTGCAGAGAAAATCAAAGAAAATCAAGGCCCTATGCAATGGAAATAAAACGGATTGCATGCATGAGGAAAAACACATGTTTT